TCTTAGACCACTGAAAAAATGCGAGGGTTGACGGAGGAGTAATTTTATCGTTGTAATGAAGAGTGTATCTGCAATTAGCCTTTTGTCCTCTACAGCTGAAGTTCAGGCTCTCGGATCCAAACATGCGTGACTCCCTCATCCCAGTTAGCCCGACTGAGAAGCTTGTCGTCTAAATGTCTGTGCTAGTTAAAGATCCCCCACTGCACATTTAAGCTGTGGTCACACAATGCTCTTAAATGCAGATTGTGGTGGTGGCTGCTATCTGGCTTATTTGCTCTGGAGTCGAAACTTTTCATCTCATTTGATTTGATGCTGTGGCCCCCTAATTGTGAGGGACCCTCTGGCATTTCCAGCCCTAAAGCTTTTGTTCAACCATCAAAATGTATTTATTGACCCTGAAGAAACTGGCTGAGGAGATGCTTGGATGGTTTTGGAGAGCACATTATGCCATTGTTTTAGGAGTTGTTACCACTGGCAGGCTGGAATGTTTTCTCTCTCTTTTGGTAGTCACACTAACTTAGTGTACATAAGTGATTTCTGGGTTTATTTTAACAGCATGATGAGTTTGATTTCATATTCTCTGTAATGTAGTTGAAGCTTGTTGTTGGGAGAAAACCATTTGGGAGATGCAAGAAAAGGGCAACAGCGCCCCCATGTGACCCAAATGCTGTTCTCATGCAGCAGAAAACTGTTTTATATTAAATGATTTGTTTGTTTTATGGATTAAAATATTGTTTTTGGATTATACATTTAGCAGATGCGTCTACCCAAAGTGGCCACTTGAGCTACAAGAATTACAATTGAATGTTAGAATGATTATGCACATTTTTGTCTTTCAAAATGTCTAGGCAATCCGGGTATACGTGACTGTTTTCCTTCTTATTGCTTGATAACCTAAGAAGACCTAAAATGACAGTACTTTTAAAACAGCTCAGACATTTTACTTGGAAAGTATGCAGACTGCAACTGACCTCAACAAGTTCAAGGCTGACTTTTCATGTGCACTTCCCCGCTGGTTTCCCAGTGGCCCCGCTCTCTTTGGTGTTTGACGATAGCTTTAGAAAGATGCTGAGTGCTTCTCTTCAGTCTGTGCTGAACTCAGCTGGCTAGAAGTGAAAGATGTGATTTATATGCCTCACTGCTCACTTTCTGAATCTGAGCTGTCCTCAAAAAAAAGTGTGTATGCAAGAAATGGATTGAGGGGCGCCGTCAGACATTTACTCCTGTGTATCGCCGTTTACCGTGGAGAACGACCCGCATGTCAAACCTAGGTCACTTTCTTCTCTGGAATACAAATAGAAATGTAAATGATGAAAGTAATCCTGACCATACATATTTTAAGACTGAAGCCAGATGAAAGCTTTGTGTAAGGAACAGACTAAAATATGTTGATTCACTATTATCAAATTTTGAGAAATATGCTACTTTTATGGTACTTTTCAAAGTGATTTTTTCGGGATACACGTCAGTTATTTCAGTCAGATTGCGCAATACAATTATTAATTTAGCAAATGCTTCTATCAAGTGACAACACTGTAAAAATATTGTTGGTTTAACTTAAAAAATGAAGTAATGTGGTTGCCTTGAAATTAAAGGGTTCACCCAAAAATGAAAATTAAGTCATTAATTACTCACCCCCATGCTGTACCAACCCCGTAAGACCTTTGTTCGTCTTCGGAACACAAATGAAGATATTTTTGATTAAATTTGAGAGCTGTATAACTACCACATTGGCTCCTAAGGGACTGCCTCTTGACAGCCCAGAAAGTCAATGAAGAAAATGTTTAAATATCCCAAGTGACTACCGTGGCTCAACTATATGTTTATCAAGCGACGCGAATACTTTTTGTGCGAAAAAACAAACAAAAATAACGACTTTATTCGACTATTTCTTTTCTTCCTTGTAGGCCAGAAACGAGACTTCCTTATAGATTTCCACGACGCATGCGCGAGAATTGCGATATCCTTACACTACTTCAGTTCAGTTCTCGCGCATGCGTCGTGGAAATCTAAGGAAGTCTCGTTTCTGGCCTACAAGGAAGAAAAGGAATAGTCGAATAAAGTCGTTATTTTTGTTTGTTTTTTCGCACAAAAAGTATTCGCGTCGCTTGATAAACATATAGTTGAGCCACGGTAGTCACTTGGGATATTTAAACATTTTCTTCATTGACTTTCTGGGCCGTCAAGAGGCAGTCCCTTAGGAGCCAATGTGGTAGTTATACAGCTCTCAAATTTAATCAAAAATATCTTCATTTGTGTTCCGAAGACGAACAAAGGTCTTACGGGGTTGGTACAGCATGGGGGTGAGTAATTAATGACTTAATTTTCATTTTTGGGTGAACTAACACTTTAAGTTAATTGAAATAGAAAAAATTGAGTTAATACAATGAAGGAGATTGATTTAATCACCAGAAACTCAAATCTGAACTACAAGTTGATTTGACAAAAGAAAAAATGTTGTGATTACAAAACTGAAAAAAAAAAAAAAAAAGATTTTTACAGTGTTTTCGTGCTTTCGTGTCTCTGCGTAAGCTAGCTCCAAAGAAGATATTTTGAAAAATGTTGACTTTCATTTAGGGCTGTGCCATATCATACCGTCCACGATAATACCGGTATAAAATTGTACATGATAAAAAATTGTCATATCGCGATATTGATGATATGATGACGTATGGCGTATTTACGTTACTTAGCGCGTGCACAACAACACAGCAGCATGTCAGCCTCCGGATCAGATCAAGATTTAGTTCCTAAAAAGGGCGCTACTTCAATAGTATGGAAGTTGTTTGAGTACAAGAGGTCAGATCTCCAACAACACATTTTTTTTTTTTTTTTGTCAAATATGCATGAAAACTCGTTTCACCACTTCCCTACTAGCGTACATTTTGCATTCGCCTAATCTTCCTTCAGAGTTTCCGCAGTTCGGGTACAACAGTCAACACGACTGATTGACTGATTAAACTCTTTCTAAGATGATTCAATGTTACTATTATTATATTTGTAAATAAAAGGTCTATGGTTTTACATAACACAACTTTATCTTGCTGGACTTTATTGCTGTAACGTTAACTAAATCATCATGTTACTTTCTACCGGCCGGGTGTCTGTTAGAGCAAAACACTAGAGTCAGAGCACTATTGTTCATCACGCGCACAGTAACTGAAATGTAAAACTGTTTTACATTGTAAAACTGTTTTACAGGACTCTATAAACGATTGCATAGCTAGATGCTGTATATTATACACGACGCTACGCACCAATATTTATTTACTTTGTGCTTTGAACTGTTAAGTGCGGAGTATGCTGCGCGTGCGCGCTGTGACTCCGTGTTGCTTCAAGCGCATCATTCAGCGCTCGGGATGCGCATAAGCGCTGTGCGATATATTGGAGCCTTTCATATCATAATACTTTTGCGCAATGAAAGATTATTAATAGCCTTTGTTCTGTCCTATCGATCATATGTTGCTGCCTCATTAAACAGCTGTGCTATACATTTTAACATGCTTCAATTTTTTAGTAGACTAGGCTATATAATAATTCATCCTTTTGATTTGTTACCTTGTTTTTTTTTTTCATGTACAATACAAAGAGCAATGTGTAAAGTTTTACCAGATTTAGTGTTACAATTGTCTCTTATTTATTCCCCACTAAATGTTTTTTCCCTAAATGTTCCGATTTTATACAATTATTGTATAAATTAGGTATTGTATACCTCATTTGATGCTAATCCAAAAACTATGCAACTGTTACATTTTGAAGGTTTGTTTGGATTGCCGCTGTTTGTTTAAATTTTTTGTACTTCAAAGTTTAGGTAAATTTTATTAGGCGACAATATTTTGCAGGCTTCTGAAGTTATTTTTAATATTGTTAATGTATTACTGTAGTTATTGTTAAAATAAAATGATAAGGAGTTATGTTATACTTTTTTTTTGCACTAATGCTGCTGCCAGCCAGCTGCAATCACCAATAAAACATTGTTTCATATATATTTTTTCTATATCGTGATAAATATCATTATCGCAAATATTCTTGAAATATCGTGATATAATTTTTAGGCTATATCGCCCACCCCTACTTTCATTGTATGACTTTACATTGTAAACACTATCATGATGACAAAATTTTTTGTTTTTAGATGAACTATCCATTTAAGTGTGCATGCAGTCCCTGAAGAAAGGTGAAGTCAAAAGATGCTGTATTATTTATTGAATTTGGATTTGTTGGATCCCCTCAGATACCCTGCAAACTCAGTCAAATATACATATTCTGCTGTGCCACTAGAATCAGCACTGATGCAGCATCGCTGAATGAACACAAGGAGGCTGTCAGGGTTAAAGAAACACGCTGCGGGGAGATGTACGGGTTCGGCTGGCCACTGTTTTTTTTTTATTGGGCTGTGTTTTATTTCTCCTCTATAAAACGTCCTGCTTTTGCTCTCCAGGTCTTTCTAGTGATGCAAACAGTCATTTAAGGACCTTGAAGGATGGAAGCTCCTTCCTTTGAGCGTTTCTGCTTGCAAATGACTCGCTATTAATGCGAGATTATCACCTTGCTTTCTTTTCCTTTCCTCGTTTTGCATCTCCAGGTCATTCCTGCCTCTGCTCGGCCAGGCCTTTGGATTGAGGCACTGTTATTTTTCCTCTTCGTCTTTTACGAGGGACATTTTACAGCTGAGGTCGTATTGTTCTCGTGCTCGCGACACGTCACCTGATGCGTTTAGCACAACCGTTAGGTCATGTTTTTGCGACGTTCACCTGCAGGTGAAAGTTTTCAGACTCTCCGTAACTTGGAAAGTTGATGACGTGAAGGGATTGAAACTAAATCTGCAGTAGCTGGAGATTGCATCTAAATGCTACTGGCAGTGTGTGAGTAGATGATGTGTCTGTGAAGTGGCGTGGTAGAACAAAGGTAGAAACTTATGGCTGTGGTTTGTGTAAAAAGTGCATCATGTTATACTGGAATTTAGTATTAAAATCTGCATTTCTGTTTTCTTTCTGCAGGCTAGGTGATCAAGCAGGAGTGCTGCTCTGACAGCAAGTGCAAACCCAGGTGTGTATCTTCTGATTTCCTCTATTCTTAGTCTAGGATAATAATTTTGGCAAATTTTGGTTCTTGACCAAAGTGACAATGTGGTGCTCTTCATGGAGTTAAGCAGTGTGTGTTGTGACTGTTCATGCGCTGATGCACAGATTCAGTCTGATTAGCAATTACTGAATTGTAATTTATGTGGAATAATTCTGTAATATGTCTGATATTTTGAGGTAAATATTAAAACAAGTAATAAGTCACTTTACTGTAGCCTATTTAATACAGTAAATAAACAGTAGCAGTGTGAAATATTATTACAATGTAAAAATTATTTTTTTCAAATGTAATTAAATCTGTGAGACAAAGCAAAATTTTCAGCATCATTACTCTAGCTTTCAGTGTCACATGATCCTTCAAAAAAATATGCTAATTTGGTGCTCCATTTTTATCAATGTGGAAAACAGCTGTGATGCTTAATATATTTGTGATTTTTTTTGATGAACATAGTTCAAAATAAAACCATTTATTTGAAATAGAAATTTTTTTGTAGCATTATAAATGACTTTACTGACACTTAAGGCTAATTTAATTGCATTTTTTTACGGTAGTGTAAGTAAAGTTGTTGTATTATATGATGGACAGTGGTTCCGTATTAAATATTGAAATGGCTTGCTTATTGTTTTAACTGATGGGCTGTCTAGTGTGTTGCCAAGCTCAAAAGTGAGGTAAAAAAAAAAAATGCTTGCTTGTATTCACACTCAGTCATTGAGGTAATGATGTAGTTCCACCTAATTCCGTTAGAGGGTGTAGGAGATCTCCTTTACACAGTGACACCTTCATTCACACATTCTTCTTCTGTGTTCAGTTGTGGCAACCTGCTAATTCACTGGATACATTATACCAGTCTACAGAGCGGCCACCATCTTGCTTTTTATGCACAGAATCTTAACTGAAATATTTGCTGGTGCTTTTTATGGGGGAAAAAATGGTGCTTGCAAGTTAACGTTGAAAAAAAAACATTTTTTTTTTTTTTTTTACTGCATACGAGGTTTTGCAACCATTTTGCATTAAAATGTCTTAATATACATTTTTGTTGGCATTTTTTGTTGGCATGTTGGCTCTTGAGAGAAGTCTCTGGGCTTTTTATTTCGAATAGTTGTGTCTGAATGTGTGTGGTTCATTGGGTGTTTTTTGTCTAGTTATTACTGGATGAGATGCAGTGGTTTGCTTTGGCCTCATGATGGCGTTAGAGTAACTTCCAGATCAGAAACTAAACGTGCTGATGTGGAGCAAGTGAGTAGATCTAGACCGCTTATTGATTAAAGATTTCTTTAATTGCACTGAACAGCTGTTGCATTTAATATTCTTGTGATCATGGCTGGTTTAAAGCTGAACTTCTATTTGGCCATTGGCTTTGGAAATCTTGGATATTTTATTCCAGTTTCACAGTTTTCCTGTTGCCCAACATCAAATATCAGCTCTGAGATTCTTCAGAAGTTGCAGGGATGTGTGTGTGTTTGTATAAAGTATTAGACATATGGGGGAGAAGCTTAAACACAGCTGAAAGTGAGTGTGAAATGATATTAAGTTTGTGATGATTTTTTTTCCATCTTACAAATATATTAAAAATGAGCACACATCCTGTGTGAACAACCATTTAGACTATAATTACTACATTTTTAGAAACTTTATCACCATCTTTCTTTTTAAAAGAAAAAATAGGCTCATATAGCCAATTTAAAAAGAAAAAAATATTTCAGTTAAAGTTTATTTTAGTTTAGAGTTGAGCTTCGTAACTTTTGGCCTTCTTGTGGTTAAAACGTAAAACCATGCATTTCGTGTAAGAATATTGTTTTGGTTGTGCTTTATCTCAGTGTGATTGTGTGGATAATTATGACACTTCAAGATAATGCTTTGCAATGAACTAAAATTAGTACTAAAAACACCATCTCCGCATCACCGTTTAAAGTTTTAAATCCCTTAGTTCTTGGTAAGGGTGATCGAAATTAATTCAAAATCTCACTCTTCGAATTAAAAAATGGAATCGCCGATGCTGCCATACCCCCATTTCACTTTCGTCTGGCTTGCCAAGCGAAAAACACTTGTGTTGAAGTGCTGCGAGTCTATGGTCAACCTCCTCTAACTTGGCAACGGCCATTCAAAAGATAGCATGGCAACTCCAGATACAGGAGACCCATCAACAGAACTTGAACCCCCAAAACTTGTTTTTTGGATTTCCAGTGACTTATGTTGACAACGTTCGCGCTTCAAAAAAGCCATAGTTTGCAGACATCCCAAGTCTCGCGGAAGTTCCTGGAGTCTCCCGCATATTGATAGTGGCTCCCCGATGCACGCAAATTAGTTAAAATCTTTTTATGTAATCTATAGCGAGCAAGAATCTAGAGCAAGCAAGAGCGAACGTGCATGCCGAGACCGAAAAAAACTGTGCTCCAAACTGTATTGCGCGAACAGCAGAGAGGGAGAGAGCGAGAGACCTTGCGTGTGTGCCTCATGAAGCGCATATAAGACAGAGAGCATCCTGATTGGCCGATTGATAAAAATCGAGAATCCAATTGAACCATGACCTTAGAATCGAAAATGTAATCGAATCAAGGATTTGGAGAATGGTGACACCCCTAGTTCTCAGCATCTCCTAAAAGCCAAGCCGATGTTGATTCTTGTTTTATTACGAGCTCCGTCGCGTTCTCTTTTTTCCAGGCTCTCCTCTTCTCTTAAAACTAGGGCTGTGCAAAAGTTAATTGCGATGAATCGCATCCAAAATAAAAGTCTGTTTTACATAATATATTTGAGTGTGCTGTATATAATTATTTTGTATATATAAATACCTATGCATGCATGTATATATTTAAGAATTATTTGCGCTTAAATTCTGTATATATATATATATATATATATATAAATACATAATCAATATTATAATAATATAAATATTTTATATAGGAATAACACATTTTCTTAAACATATACATGCATGTGTGTGTATTTATATATACAAAATAATTATATACAGCACACACAAATATACTATGTAAACACAGACTTTTATTTTGGATGCGATTAATCGCAATTAACTTTTGCACAGCCCTACTTAAAACATGTGATTCTCTGGTGGTTCAAAATTTGCCTTGTTTTGTCAACCTTTTTCTCTCGTTGTGACAACTATACCACTTCCAAACCATACATGCGTCAACATTTTTATTCGTTTTTAACTCCAAGGCAGAGCACACCGCGGCAGAACATGGACTAAAATAGGAAATTAAAATCATATATAACCTTGTAGAAGACTTAGTGAATGGATGTCAGGGGAAAACCATGTTTTTTTTTTTTTAAACTGAACCCATCCTTTTGATTGGCTGAGCGCTTGTTGATGTCTTTACCTGGTCTGGCGAGAGCAGACTTCTCTTGCCTCAGGTAAAATAGCAGGATACGTGAAAGAGAATGAGAAGTGAGAAAACGCATCTCCAGCCATCTCTGTTTACTCAGTCTAACCTTGTAAAGCTCTACTAGTGTCCTCTTCTCCGAGCTCCCTGCTTCTCTCTCTCCTCTCACCAAGTACCAAAAGGAGAGGAGGGGGAGGAGAGCACGCGTGTGTTGTGTGTGTGTGTGGTAGAGCTGAAAGTGTGGAGCGAGGGAAGGGGGCTGGCGGCGCACACCTTCACTGAGTGGCTCAGAAACACAGAACAGGACAGTGCAGTCAGGTATCTTCCTGTCTCCGTCTCGAGCGTCAGGGTCAAGTGGCCATGGCCCTGTTTGTGGACTCTGCGCACTGCATGGGGGCCTACTACTGCCTCATAAGGACCCGGTTCAAGCGGAGACGCAAGAAGCGGTCCGAGCGGAAAGGTGAGAGCGCTTTCTTTAACAGGCCTGGCGGAGATCCGAAAACGCGTTTTCCACTTCGAAAACTTGATCGTACGCGGTGCTTTCTTCAGTGCGTGTGATGTTTGCATTTCTAGACAGACGTACAGTAGCCTAGTTGGGGCGAAATACTTTAGGGAAGTTGACGTGTACTGCGCTCTTACATTGTAAATGTTTTTTTGAAGATTATTGGAGTATGTTTTATAAGAAAACACTTTCAGTTTTCGTTTGGCAAGTTTACTTGGCAGTTTCTGAGTAAAAATCGATTCAACACCAAATTTAGTGAACTATTTTCATTTTCCATTTGAACTATATTAATTCTTCTGTAATTTGTATCCAGCATAACCTCATATTAATTGAGTGAGTGCATGTATTATAGTGTATTGTTGTTGTTTTTTTATTTTTCACACTGCAGGATCATTTGAAATGATCTAGTGAATGTGAAAAGGCACTTTTTATTGTTCTGTCTGGTCAAATCTAAAGCTTTTCACAGTTTCACAATATTCTGGATGATACAGCTCTGTACTGTACCTTTGCTAAAAATGATGGAAATTAATAGTGAATAAGCTCAGAAATTTCAATCACAAGAATTTATAAAGATCAGGCTGTGTCTGCAGGTTCTTTCCAATAATCTTATATTTATAATCAAGTATTAAATATTTTTTTTGCAAGTATCTAAAGTTGGTTCAGGAGTTTGTTTTTAAAATTAATTTTCCATGAACTAAATTAGTGTAGCTCTATTTTAGTTCTCACATTAACATATGTATATTTTAATGTATTTTTGTTTATATTTTTTGTTAGCTATGAATATTGATGTGGTCAAAATTACAGTTCATCTGAGAAAAATCCAAGTTTTTTTTATTTATTTTTTTCAGCCAACTAAAAATAAGTATATATAAACATGATTAAGATCTTTTAAGTTTTTTTTTTTTCTTGAAAGTCCTAAAAGGTCTTACACTTTCATTTCCCCTTGAATGTGCAGATACCCTGAAGATTATGATATATTTAATATATAGCCTACCTAGGCTCACATATTATTGCATTGGCATAAAAAATTCACAAAGGCAGCATTTTCTGTCATGGTTTGTATGTGTTTTGGAGATTTAATGATTTCCATTTCTGTGGTTAGTTTTGGTAGGAGAATG